AATCTGAAATCATCAGTACATATGTTTTTTGACCTACCCTTTGCATCTGTGAAAAAATTGTGCTGTTTGGACGTCTCTGTGAGAAGTTATGATTTTCGCGAAAATTGACAAATCAATTAATTTTGGCCTTTTCCATAGTAAATTCGATATTCATAACTTCTCACAGAGACGTCCAAACAGGACATTTTTTTCACAGATGCAAAGGGTAGGTCAAAAAACATATGTACTGATGATTTCAGATTTTTCTGCAGCATTCCAGATTTTTGGTGACCTAACTTAAAATGGTCAAAGTTTACATGGTCTTAGTTTTCCATTTTTATCTCCGCACTCAATGTGAAACGGAAGCTCTGCAAAACAGCGTTTCAAAGAGAAAGACTTGTTCTTTCCAACAAAATTACATGCAAGCAAATCCGTTGAAACAGCGCAAAGTTACAAATTTTCAAAAATGAAACGACAGAACTTTCGGTACAACCTAATATATCACTATTCTGCACGGTAGGCTTTTCTGCATACGGTAGGTATACGGTATGTGAATGGTCAGGATTGCTTGTAGGGTTATGCTAGTTTTCTTGGATTTTGATCTGATACACTGATAAGTTTGCTTTCAAACTTTTCATAGTTATGCCCTTGACTTCGTTTCTACCAAATTGCTTGTAACTATTATCACTCACTTCGCCTTCGGACGTGAACTACCGTATACCCGTGCACCTGATTATATCTCTATATTGCATTTTTGGTCGTTTATCTCCCGCTGCAGCTAGCTAGCTGTCTTTTTTCTGTCTTAGTGTGTTCATACGGACCAATAAAAATAAAAATGGAAGGGCTGCAAAGCGTCGGCAACTGCGCCTCGCACACGAACTGAAGGCCAGTTCCAAAGGTCAACGCAATAAAATCGTCGTTGGTGCGCCGCCGCCGTCGCGGTCGCCGAGACAAGACGATTAGCTTTGCAATTCTCTCGACCTGTGATATCATTTCTGCATTTTGCACACAATCGCACCCGTTGTGTTCATTTTATGTCAAAAGTTCCAGTAGAAATGAAACATTGTGCAGATTCCAGGTGCTGATAGGTCTCACCTCCGCGGACAACTGGTCCTTTCGCTCAAGCTATTGCTCACGGCGTTAGGACCAGTAGTAGTCCGCGATTCTGGTCCAAATAGATAATCGTTCCTGTACCGATTTTCCTGCAAAACGCGAAATAAGAACTTTTACATAATAGTTTCCTATGGTAGAACTAGCATTTCTTTGAATGCGTCTAATCGAATGGAACGAGTCCATATGGTCTCGTAAAAGTGGTTTGGTGGGTGTTTAATGGGTTAGACATGGCCTGCAAGCTCTCATATGTTCCCTATCTCTCTCCTTCTCCTCTTCTACACTTATTTTCCACCAGGTATTATTTTGCCCATGAATTTCACCTCTTCCACTTTACTCAGATGCGGGAGGTTTTCTTTTTTTCGTCAATCGAAAACACTTTGTCTAGAAAGGTAAGATGATGGTGATCTAGCGCTGGATATGTAGTTTTGCACTGATTCAGCGAAGAATGTGTACGTTGTGTTGATGATTGGTCTTTGGAATGTTGACTCTCGACATTTGCGGATACCTCCATATGCTCGGAATGAGTGTCTAAGCGTTTTTGCAAATATTTTTGGGCTATTTTGGGCATTTTATGCGCAATTCGTTACTTAGACAATCTGTTGAGGTACACTGGAAGGTTTCACTAACGTGTACATTTCACAGTTTACGGGTCGGCCATGGGGCCCATATTGCTTTTCTTATGATTATTTTTGATTTTCTACGTTGCTTGGACAAAATCGTTCTCAAGTAAGCGTAACTGTTGCGTTTGATGCGTTTCATACTTAAAAGGCCAATATTCCCTTTGTCAAAATCTGGAAATTGTGTAGTTGCACACAATAGCAAAGAAACGTACTCGGCTGAAAACTAGGCATATAATATTGCGAAATTTTTTTTGCTAGGCGCCGCTTCACTTCTGGAGCTACGGTTTCTGCACGTAGAGATAAAGTAATGGTAATGTTATAACATTGGCATCCCTACTTTGGACCAAAAGAAAGATTGGAAATGCTTTCCGTTTCAATGAAAGTAACGTTCGGATTGCAAAGAAGACTACAAGCTACATGATTCAATCAGGCGAACTGTGACCAGCGCTACCATTGGTCGAGCTACGGTAGGTATATGGTACTCTGACTTTCGTTGCGTACCAGTGGCGTTCGGTGCTCATCTGAGCGGAACACACGCCGCTCGTACCTTTGAAGCTCCGCTGGTAGGAGAATGGTACGCCGCTGGTACGCCGGGTATGCGACTTCGTTGGGACCGCAATTTCACCCGATTCTTGATTACTGTACTGATTGCAGAATTAGCTGATTTAAAAATTGCTATTCCGAACAATTTTACTAGGCCGAAATTAACGCAAAAATTCCCACTATCAATCGATAGACTTCCTTGGTCGAAATTAGGGGATCATGCCCCCACAGTACTCGGCTGAATGCTGTCAGGTCAACTTAATAAGCATATTAAACTTATTCCTGTTAAGTACCGAGAGCTAACCAGCTCTGTAAATGCTGCGGCAGCCCAACCACTGCATCGTTATGCGAGCTACACGTGCTTACAGCAAATTTTTCAAATTATCCTACATGAGTTATAATTGTGGAAAATTTGGGGTTATGGATCCGCAGAAATTCTGCAAACTTCTCGAAAAATCTTTGGGAGGGCGTGGCTAACGCCATTTTCGTCGCTTCCCTTTGATAAAAAATTTCTTGGACCGCCACTGGCTTAACGTATCTGCAGCCTTGGAATCTCGCTTTCACATCGATTTTTCCATTATGTATCAAGAGGTACTGGTATTCTTGTCCCTAATCTTTTTCTTTTTATGATTTCTGTGATCCGCACTTTCCTCACGTAATAGGAACAAAAGATTATTCGTTCATTGTGGTCTTACTATTCTTTATGAATACCCGTCCCCTTCTCCCACCACGTAGCATGTGACAAAGCAATTCCATTCAGAAATGAACAATAGCGCTCATACATAGAAAAGTTCGTTCGCCTTTCATCCCAATTGTTGCCGCTATGGTCGATATAAAGTGTTTTTTGGTTGATTCTCTGACGTAGGTAAACTTCCTTGACTTAGAGGAGGATTGATAGATGTCAATGTCAAAGCTTTGACGCTGAATGATGTAATGCTTTCGTATGCGAAATGGGCTTCCTGGTTGAGTGTGTGAAACGGGAAAGCGCATCGTTGAGGAAAGAGCAAAAAATAGGAGATGGAGAGGGAAGATGTAGGGAAATATAAGCGGAAGTAATAGACGCTTGCAAGCACGGAAAAGTCACTTTTCTATATTGTGAAGGATGCTGTCCAAAAAACTGAGTCTCCAACGCAATTTTTCTTTCACATTGGAAGTTTTTTGCGACAGCAGGGAAAGGATAGCGTATCCAAATCAAGCAAATCAATATTTGTAAATTCCAGTTTTGATCAGGGCACCAACTTATCTTGCAAGGCAGTGTCCAGGCAGTTTTCGGTTTCGACTTTATTTCATTATGTCGTTGCCCTAGTCGCAGCCCATATGGTTCATTCGTGGCCGAAAAATTCAGCCCTGAACTTCGGCCCTGACCGTAGTCTGTACAGTAGAGTATACGGTCTATGCTGGAGTTCAGGGCTGAATGTCTCGGGCGGGAGTGGATCATGCGAGCTGCTGCGTAACCAATGGCTTGACTAGGGCTTCCCGGCACTCCTGTAGAAAACACAGGTATACTTGGCTGCATGGAATCACCGTGTTGAACGCCCACAAGCGCTCTCTGTGGGTTAACATTGGCATTCGCGCGCATGAGTTATCATAGCGCCCGCACTCGGCAGCCGCGTCGCAGGCACGCTCTCGTGCACTCAGCCTATAGTGACCCGGGCGATTTCTTGCAATGAACTATACCCAAATCTGCTTGCGCACTGCTTTCAATGAATCCCTCGCTTTCTGGTCGCTTGCAAATCTCTCACTTCTATGCCCCTTACATTCTTTTTCACTTTTTTTTTTTCGTGATAGTGCAGATTTTTCTCGAATCACTGTTGCATTTGGTCGCTGCGAAGTTTTTATTTCTGAGAAAAGATTGCAAGTGCACGTTTTTTCATAGCTATGCTGTAAAGCGTGACGGGAGAAATTACCAGCTCTTTGCGGTTTTTCTTTGCTACAGGTTGGCTAAAACGAGGAGAGTTGTCTTTGAAGATAAATAGAATAGAAAGTTTCCGTAAGTCTGGATATGGAGCTTTGGGATACATATTGAGCTTCATAAATAATTTTTTGACAGATGGCATTTTGAAAAAAGCTCCTTTGGAAAGGTGATGTCCGGCATTTGGGCATCTGGATATTTTTATGGATATCTGGAAATGTCTGAGGGGCAGCTTTTGTAATCAGTACGCAGCCGAATTCCGCTTTAAATCTCGGCCCAGACCATACCTCTACGGGCCAATCAGCATGGCGACGTATAGCAAGTACGATCTGGGCCCGAGCTTGAAGTTGAATTTCTCGCGTTCTAATGACCCATATGAGCTGCTCTTTTGGCAGTGGCTCATGCAAGATTTCCCAATCAAACTTGACACGGGAAACCCTTTACATACAACTGTTGTTTTTTTTTCGGTATAAAATTTTGTTGAGAATAAGGAAAACTTTTCGAAAACTTTTTTCATTTTCCTGAATTCTCTGCGGAGCCTTAGTTTCCAAATGCTGTTTCTTTTCGAAGACCAGAAGAACAGAAATTCGATGAGCGAGCCGAGCAGCTGTATGCACATGAAAGACACGCTCTGCGCTTATTTTCTTAACAATTCGCGCCTGCGCGCTCGCCGTTTTTCGCTTGTTTCGTAACAAATCGACATCACTGGCCTTTAGCTTCTGAGCGCATCTTGTCAAGCTGTCTTATTAGTTTTACTTGCATTCTGGACTTCTGCCAAGTCTTTCCCTGAGCTCTGAGATTATAGTGAAGACCGCTAACAATTTGCGTTTCAGGATCTGCTCTATCGTCGTATGCGATGTCTTGCAAATTACGAAGCAGCGAACAAAAATCTGGAACGTGCACGAGGCAGAAACAAGGATATACCTAAGGTATGAATTGGTTACAGCTTTTATCGAGCGATCGCGTGGATTTGAGCGGCAGTTTAATATGTGCAAACGCACGTAAAATAATTTTGCGCGGAAAATTCAAGGTTTCAGCCTGCGTCTATACTCATTCTGCGTGCGTTTTAGCGAACCGTTCAGCGTGCCACATCGGATCCACGTCTGCCGCAGCACACTAGAGTGCACGTTAGTGCATGTAACCTTTAATTCAAGTGGCTTGGTGGCTGAAAGGCGGGGCTTTGTGACCTAATTAACGCCGCTCGCGTTCGCGATGCAGCCTGCGTCTCTCTTGCGCGCATGCTCTCTGATCATGACCTAGCCTTGATTAGGTCACAAAGCCCCGCCTTCCAGCCGCCAAGCCAGTTGAATAAAAGGGTACATCAAGCGTAACTGCACTCTCAAATGATCTCTTGAAAGCACGTCTAGCATTAATGACTTAGTGTCTAAAAAGTGAAAAAATACAGTCTAAGTTAAAAAGGAGAAAATGATTCATAAATTTACTGAAGGGTAATCCTGCCTTCTTAAGTATATTTGGGTATTTTCACTCAAAACATTAGTTTTGTTCCCAGCGGTTTTTGGTTCTCTGACTCGCTTTGCTTTACGTTTGGTTTGCGTTTGGATTTGGTCTTTGATGTGCGACTACACAACAAACACCACATCCACAATAGGCACGATTGAGTGCCATATGTGCGTTATTTGCACAGTGTTGCTGGTGCTTTTGCGTTAACCAGATGATTACGATCAAAAACGGGATTTTTTGATATCGATGTATGATACCGCTTTTTCGTTTTCCTTTTCATTTTAAGTGAGAAGCAGATTCAAAAGTAAAAATAGTTAAAAAAGATTTGATTATCACTATCGCTTATCCAATGATAGAGGGTTCTGTTTGAACCCAAATTTTTATTGTTTTGGAGGAGATTAATCCCAAAAGAAATCATTTCAGACTTGTAACTCAAGCTGAAATCAAAGGTTCTTAATGTTTAGTAATGCATGATTAGAACTCTAGAGTTTTCTGAATTATTTCGGTGCAAAATAGGGAAATGATACTCACTCCCATTTTCAGATTAAAGATGAGGGTTTTGCCGCAAAATCTTGAAACAGCGGGAGTCGAGAGATTTTGAATCAAGACATCAAAATTTTTTTTGAAAAGCTGTCAGAAATTTGCCAGCCTTCTACTTTGAAACATTTATTCATATCTGCCCTGCCACGCATATAAGGCGCACTTTTTCGAATTTTCAAGCGAGCCGCTCAGCCGCTTCACTGTATTCTGGAAAGAAGTCCTTACATCGCTCGAATCTCTCAAGCAATATACAGCACGTTATAAGGTCCTTTAGTTGTAAAGTCCTTTGGCTTGTCTGGGCTGGTCCATTTTGGAAAAAAAATCCCCCGCGCCTTATACGCGTGAAATTAGGGTAATTTAAATCTCTCAGAATGTTTGAAAATTGTATCTACAAATAAAACGTACCATTTGCACTATCTTATGTTGTGGCCTGATATTAAAAGCCATCTCCCCCTCTCAGTGGCGTACACAGGATTTCCGCTCGGGGGGGGGGGGGGGCGACAAAGAAATTTTCTAATGAAGGTGCGTGGCGTTAGCCACGCACTCCGAAAAAATTTTGGCATGCTTCCCAAGATTTTTTCGTTTCCCTAACCCCAAAATTCCAGAAAAAGGGGGCGTGGCGCCAACCCCGAAAAAAAATTTTTGGTAGGGCTAAAATGAATTTCTAAAAATTTCAAAAATTATTCTAATTACTCAAAAGTGCAGACAAGTCAATTGCACAATTTTATAACCCATGTAAGTAACTTTCAAACCCCCGCTCGATACGCCACTGCCCCCTCCCCTTCAATTCGGCACTAATAAGAATTTTGATAAGATTTCGGAATACGAATTTTGAGTAAAGTAATCTTTAATCAAAAAAATTTTCACCCTAGATTTAGCATATCGCTTCAATTCCACCTGCCTTGTCAGTGTTCACCAATTACTATGCTCTTGATTGGCGCTCAGAAATGCTATGCTAACGTATGACAGAAAATTTCTGAGCGCAAGTGGCATTTTACCAATGTAACAAAATTTTTAAGAGTAACATGACACGCATTGTTGGCGCTAATTTGTCTTCTTGTCGATTTGTGTGGTTCTTCTGGTTCAGAGCGCATGAGCGGAATGAATCAGGCCATTCAAGCATAAGTAGATGTTTCAGCAATGTCAGTGAGTCAGTGACAAGTCAAAAATCATTTACGTGCAGTTTGAGTTTTTAGAATTCAGTCATTGTTTGAACAACCAAAAAATGCGCAGTAAACTCTTACGTATATTTTGGAGGTTTAGGATCAGTCTCATTTTTCTGAATAAACTGACAATAACCTCTGATATCAAGCTTTCCTGAGGATAAATATAAGAAATTCTTTTATGATAAATTTTTTGGTAAAAGTGGTGCTACAAATTCTATTGTTAATGGAAATTTGGTTTCTTTGCACGAGAGAGGCAAGAAAATGTTTCCTTTTTTTTTCAAGGTTTTACTCTTCCGGGTATCTCTCATCATGACAAAATTGTAAGATTTAAAAAGGTTCTTGTAATTTCAACAAAAAGTCTTCCAAAAGAATTCTCCGTCAAGAAATATTTTATTACAGTCAACATCTTGTTATCCTCTTATTCAGAAAATATTTATTGGATAATAGGCTGATTGCTTCCTCTTAATTTTCCACAACAGATTACTTCCCTATGGTTGTTTCTTCAACTTCTCCCTATAGTTTTTTCTATATGAGTTTTTCAGGCAGAGACCGAACAACAGGAGGCTTGCAAAAAATTCGAAGATATCAGCGCATTGGCGAAGACTGAGCTCAAAGATCTGAAAAAACGCCGTGTATTGGCGTTTAAGAAAAACCTCGCTGACCTTGCTGATCTAGAGATCAAGCACGCTAAGGTGAGCTTTTTTCTTTTCTCTTCTGCTTCAGTAGAAAAATTTGTTTCGGCGGGGTGGGGGGAGGGCAAGAGTGTATGTACGTCCAAAAATCGTTAAGAAAGTCCTAAGACCACTGAACTCATTGAACAACCGGTCTGGATAAGATTGTACTGTGACAATCGGAACTATTTGACAGTCAAACAACATCAGATAGAAAAAAATCATCATTGCATTTTTAATGGATCGATTGAGAAAGCGCCAAATTGTGTACGAATGTGTCTTCTTTCATTTTGTCACTCAGTTACGCGGCATGCAAAATGAAAGCGAACGTGCTGGGCTCTTGCTGACTTTTGCTGACTTCTTGTTTATTCATGCGCTTTCTGCAAAAGCCGAGCAGTGCGATGGTACGCCATCTGACTGAAAAGTTTGATGATTGGTTAAGAGGCAGAAGCTAGAAGATCATCGGAGTAAAAATGTTGTGATTTTTTGAATTTTTGGCTTGTCCCAGATTTTAGAGATTCGCTCAAAACACAAATTTATGCCAGAAGATAAATTGAGACAGATAACAATCAACGCTAGAGAGCTGACGCCTCTGAGTCGTGGTTATCTAGGACCGCGCGCTATATCGATTATAACATCAGCGTTGACGACCGCGCCGCGCCCGTTGCTGCATCACCGTTTTGTCATCATCAAAAATTATTCACTGTATGTGATGAAGAATAGTTCTAGCATTTTGCTTTCTCCCTCCCCCCTCCGACTGTAGATTCTTTCTTCCTTTCTGAAGGGAGGGACGCGAAGAAAAGGAAGTTGATATTAGGGATGTAAACAAAGCATTCCAAGAAAACCCAATGTTTTTTCCTCTGAAAGTGGTTACTCGAGAATTCTTCCCATTGTGTTGATCGGCAGAGCTTACAGAATCTTCATGAGTGAATACAATCACGTATATACATAAATATTATATATATGTATGTGCTACTTTGGAGCATTATCTGGCCTGTCCCACCTTCCCCATCTTCTATAAAATTTACACCCACTATCAAAGGCTGATCTAAATCATGACTTTTTCCTTTGTTTTGGCGCCGCATTTTTTCAAGCACGGTTTGTTCTTTGGCGCCGGAATTCCGGTATCATTGTGTGCACACAGCTTCACGCACAGACTGTTGGCGCCTGTGAAATAATTTCAGCCACTATCAGCTTTTATTTTTGATCATATGAACATTTTTTGTGAAATCACAAGCGGAAGTGCAGCTGCTGTCAGGCTTGACCGGCGCCGTGAAGACGCCCATTGAAGACCGTTAGATAGGCATATTTAAGTCTATGTTTGATGCCGGTGGTGTGTCTGGCATTGATGTCAAAATACCACATTTGTAGGATTAGCTCTTTTTGCAGCCTTAACACACTTGGCAGGTCGGAAACCGGCCCATTTTCTTGCTATGAATCTATCGCCTTGGCATTTCATTGTGCGAATGCAGACATCACCACAGTTTTACGCTAAAAATGCTAGTACCGCGGCATGTCGTGACAGGACCATGATACGTGCCTCTTCATGTTGCTGGTAGAGGCCTAACGGAGGTGCTCGTTCCTCTACCCTCAGGTTGCGACGACTAGTCTTAACTCGAAAGCCAACTTACAAATGGAGCGGAATGGTCGCGTACTCGCGTCACATGGTGTATGCGCATTTAGTACGCCAAACTGTTCCAGCCCTGTAACGTTCACGCGTGAAGTATAGTCGCATGAGATTTCTCTTTGGGATTATGCCCGCTTGCGTGCGCTTCTAGCATCCTTTTGCATTGCGGTTTGAACTGCTACCGTGCCGTGCTTTTTGTTGCAGAAAAAACCGTATCGCTGCATATGATACAGGGCTCCTAAATTGCAGAGTCGTTAGCACCAGCGGTCGCGCGACCGCGTCGCGCCCGGGCATTTTGCCGGCGCCGGCGCCATCGATCGAGGCGGCGCCATTGATGCCCGGGCGCGGCGCGGTCGCGCGACCGCTGCTGCAAACGACTCTGCAATTTAGGAGCCCTGTAGATCTTATTGGAGGTGGTCAGGGGAGAGCTGGTATTAAGCAATCCGTCGAAAGTTCCTAGTATTAGTTACGTTATTTCGATTATCCTTGTGATTTCTACTTTTTAGGCGCAAATTCAAGTACTCAACGAGTTGATTGGAAGGCTGAAACAGCAACCGTAAGTCACTCCATTTTGGCTTCGCAAAGGTTGTGTTTGCATCTAATAACAATTCCACATTTTCGATACATTATTTATTGATTTGTTTACTAATCTATCCGATGGTGCCTATGTGATAAACCATACTATAGACTGCTTTGGTTTTCAATAGTTTTATCTTGTTATGATTTTCAACTACTTTGCATGACTTATATAAATAAATCAAATACATCTCTCAACATCTTTTTATCATACTGAATAAAGTCTTGACTTATTGTTTTGTTGATTATCAAATCGGTTTGGTCCGTTGTATATTTTCCATGTGGCAATTTTTGCGTCGTTCAACGATGCTGTGGTCGTTCTCGCTCATTTTCCATTTGCCTCTATAGCGATTCATCGCACGCATAGATAGGGCGCCATTGCGGACGACGTCAGCGTATCTCAGGTTCAACGCACTCTCATTCCTCTAGCCGTCTTCTCTCCTAAACGCGTACTATCTTTATTCACCGAACCGCGTCTATCTGGAGTGCGATTCATCTTCACTGATGCTCGAACTTCATGAATTTTTCATTTGTTAGTATTTTTTCACTGGTCTCCAATGACAAGAGCTCCGAGATTGTTGGAGTTCCATCGAAGCTTTTTTTTTTCATACCTGCTTAAATCAAAATTTACTGTAGATTTGTGAATTTGATTTCTGAGTCATTGAAGCGCACTACCGCCTTTTCATTTTCCTCTTCATTTAACCCACCCCCTCATGAACATCACATTTGTTGTACTTCAATCAAGCGTATAAGGTGAACTCGCTTTAGTTTCTAGTCAAGGTTGATCGAAAGAGCTGATGTCCTCGGCTTCTTAGCTCAACAAAAAAATAAGGACTTTTCATTCTTCTTTTCCACCTTCTCCTCAAATTGAACCGTTTCCCATACAGTCTGAGAATTTCCATCCAAATTTACCAATTTCAAGCTAATAAGTCCGTTCTACTTGCGATTGTTGCTGTCAACGATCCGATCAGCGCACGCATGATACGAATGATTAAGTTGTCATGTGATGTCTCTCTTCACAGACATAACGTCATTTGTATTGTCTGTGCTTGTTTATTGGCTATTTTATGTGATTTATAGCTTTATATATCTAAGTGCTTGAATCAAATGAGAGAAATTTGTTTTGGAACGTGCTATTATGTGGAAAAAAATTCTCGATTTTTTCGCCAGGTTGGGATGAGGAATAATAGTGCGCTTTTCTGTATTGTTTGGCCACAAACAAAAAGTCATGAGCTCATTTCTTTGCGGAAATTTGAGAGACTTTTACTTTCACCATGGTGAGCTGCTGAAAAAAGTAGTATGTATCATGTATCTTGAAAGTCATAGTTGTAAACAAATTTTGGTTCTAAACGGTCTCAAAATGGTCCTTGAAATGAAATTTAATCCTCAAAGGAGCTTATTTTATTTATTTTATCAGCTATCTGAAGTTCACTTATAAAATCGTGACGAAGGATTTTACTGCGGACTTTGCCCCCACAGGAGAACAAAACACTCATACAAAAAGGCATCACCTCAAGTTTAGCTCTGCCACTTCGTCTAAATAGCATGATACGTAGGCAGAAAACCCCACTCGATTGGAGATGAAACCAAGAATGCGATTTCCGGAAGTGGCGTGCGGTCGCGCGCGTCGCGACATCGTCACGATTTTCCAAATGCCCTGTACCAACACTTGAATTAACCCATTGACGACGATGTGTACCACCGGTGGCTCACACACTTCCTGCCGCCAGGGACGATGTGGACCACCCGTGGCCTACAATCCTTGCAAAAATATATCCTTTCCAAGTATAGTATTTCTTTCACAGTTCAGTATTTCTCCCATTTTTTTGCACTCTTGGAACTTGTAGACTTCGCCGTCCAAGAAAATGATTGTAGTTGTTTAGAAAGCAACTTTACATCTCGTAAATAATCACAAAACTTTCCCAAGCCGAAAGTTTTGTGCAAAATTGCGTCGTCCCACAGCGCCGCCATGCAAAATTAGACGTCGTCGTCAATGGGTTAAGGACTATCACTAAGTCTGCCGTTTCTGGAGCTATCATCTAGTCTATTTCTATTCAAGCTAAAAAAGAGAAGGAAACGGAGAAGTAAGTAAAAATGGACAGACTTTAAACAGAGTAGTCGTGAGACAACGCGCATTTTGTGCAATGCACGTATTGGATGAAGTGGATCAAGTGTGGCGTAGTTGCCGTAAAATGACTTGTTCTGCAATCACGAAGTCGACGATCTGCAGACGGGAAGCGCTATTAGTCGCCATTTGCAATTTGGTTTTAAAATTTTCTTTTTCTGCACTGTGAGCTTTCTGTTCGTGCCTCGTGATACATTCATTCTCTTTATACTGTATTTTCCTTCTTTTCTTGTCTGTGTTTTGCTGCTGTGCTGGTGACGCAGCTGTTCTTATTGAGATGCACCATTTACGGAGACCAACAACGTGGACAAAATCGCTCTTGCGAAATTGTGCTTGTTCAGTGAACGCTTTGTGCTTTGATTGTTGAGAGCATTTTTTGTTTGCGTCGTCCTTGTAACTTTGATAATCGCTTTTTTAGCTTACTGTTTTGAAACGAAAAGCTTGAGTCATTTCGCTTCAGACATTACTGTGAAGGGGTGCTATGACTCATGCTTTTAGTGAATCCTTTCAATATTCGAAATCTTCAATGTGTCAGCGGAGTAAGTGGAAGGTATAAATAGCTCGACAGTGTTTGTGCTCACACTATTCTAGCTTCTCACAAACTTTGCAACTGTCGCTTTTATACATTGAAGGCTGTGCCCAAGCAAATCTGGGGCTACATTTCATATAACTCGATTTTGACTGTGGAGTCGGTATTGAACTCTAGCCCAGACCATACTCCGGGTGAAAGGTACAGTAGGAAGTACGGTGTGGGCTGAAGTTCAAAGCTGAGTTTCTCGGTTACGATTGAATCATATAAGTTGCCTCTTGGGCGATGGTTTTGTACCTGGGTTTTCACAGAGAAAACCGAGGTACTAGGATTGCTCACGCGCTCCTTTAAAAGTGCGCAGCGCATCGTTGACGCCTATGAGTTGAGTCGCATACAACCACTTAAGGGCCGGGCATACTTCACGCGATTTCAGTCGCGACGCGATTTGGCAAGATTCCAACTGTCTATGGCCCCGGACAGACTTCACACGACTTAATCTCGCGATCTAATCGCCAAGATTTCCACTCATTTTCAATTCACATTCAAAAATTTCGGGCTGGAAAAGTATCACAACCGAATGCCAGTTGATCGGCATGGAATGATGTTGTAGTAGTTGTCTCGATTCAGTCGCGACGATCAAATCGCGTGAAGTCTGCCCAGGCCCCATAACTCACTGTAAGCACATTTTAAATGCACAGATAAGGTATTTTATCAATCCAGTGAGTTATACACATTATGCATGTGCAGTTTGCTAGTATCAATACAATTGGATCTGAACATTTCTGGCGATTGCCAAATCGCGTCGCGACTGAAATCGTTTGAAGTATGCCCGGCCCTTTGAGCATGTGTATGGATTCTTAGAGTATATAAAACCTTCTCTCTTTAGTCAAGTAGGTTTGTTGATAAAATGCCCTTGCGGTACCAAGATTCTGCGGTAAAATTGGCGCGTGAACAAATTACCCCTGAAATGCCGGCGATTTGCGTGTGAAAATGGTGGCATTCCAGGCGCAGCTTTTTGTTCGCGGGCAAATTTTACCGAGAATCTCGGCGGCGCTAGGGATATAATCATCGGCAAATTTACTCGACTGTAATCCCATTATGTGGTTTTTGAGGATCTTTTTTGATTCTTTCACTTACAGCTTTATCTTACATGATTTTTGCGTCATCCGTAGTTTACAAATTCGTACAGAATGAGTTTTTCGATTATAGAATGAAAGTGTAAAAGAATGAAATATCACCTGCATTTACACCCCGCTCCCAGCATTTCCCTCAAACAAAAGCTTCAAAAACCATGAACTCAGCGTCTGTCAATGTTTGCACGACATCATGTGCACGTTTTTGTTTGCTTAACCTTACACGGTGACTTTGAGCATGACTCGTGATGTAAGAGACCTCTGATCTTTGATAAGGGATGTGTTTCTGCCGTTATCAACTCCTTCTTATCACTCTTCCTTGGTTCACAGAAACGTATGCCAATTCGGTCATTCCATTTTATAACTGTGCCCTTCTTTTATACTCGTGCGCTTCGATATAGAATTTGCCGATACTACTCTGTATCGAATAATTAACTAAAAATGGATCTTCTCCGCTTGGTTCATCACAGCAACTTGACTCATAAAGAGAAGAAGACAAGTGCTTTGAAGCCTGATATCGAATATATGGTGGGTGCATGGGTGCACGTTTTAAGATTGAACTTTCTGTCCTCTGTGAGCTTTTCTTTTTTTCTCGGACAGTTCCTTTCTTTTTCCATTGTGCTTAAAATTCTGTTTTTGGCAGTCATTCACCATCGCTGTCCTGTTCAATCCAAGATAGTCAGCGCTTGTAGATTATGTTATTGGTTTCTACAGCTCAACTTCCCTTACTTTTTTTTGATGATGCAGGCAGTCCAGTTTCGCTACAGCACCTTTTAGTTGCCAGCCGCACTTGATCCGCTTGATTCGCTTCGTCATTGGTCGGTTGAGTGAACTAACCAGTAGTGAAGTGGATCAAGCGGATCACGTGGACAACCGCTTTGCTATTGGTCACTTTATTGTATTGACCAATGACGAAGCGGATCAAGTGCATCAAGTGGATCAACGGATCAAGTATGCCACGTGCTTTAGGTGCTAGGAATACTTACTTTGCTGCCTTTGTGCCGATGTGCATGCTTTTTAGTGTACAGTTCATCGCGCCGCATCCGAAGCCGAGATCAGGTAGGTGCCAGACTTATCCGGTCCAACCGATTCGTATTCGTCGAGTCCACCCACTCGCTATTGTTCAGATCATTGAACTGGCCAATAACAGATGGGATGAGCAGGACGACCGATTGATGTGGGACCTGTCTGATGCTGCGCTGTTAACTACACGCTCAAAAGCATGCACATCGGCGCAAAGGCAGCAAAGTATGCACTTGTTGTGAAATGGAATTGGACAAGCGATTGCGTTGCCACAGTGGCGCTAGCTGTGCGTTGTGGGGTTACTGTATAACAGTGAACACAATAACACTCGTCATCAGGTTCCCTTGGTTCCTTTTTTTGAACTTATTCGTTCACCATCTCAAGATGGGAATGAATTTTTTCGCTTTACCCTGATATTTTTTGACATCTCGGTTCACGAAGCGTTTGCGTCTATTATATGCAAGGCAATATGAATTTGAGCATGCACATGTTCTTCTGTCATGTTCATCGATTGCCACAGGCATTGAGCGATACTGTATACTTTGAGAAAAAACAAGATGTTGCTATGATGTTTTTCATTCTATGGGATTTTATATATGTATCAATAATGAGTGACTTCTGGCCGTAGATCGAGACATCTTTTCTGTACAGCAAAGAAGTTGTGGAAGTTAGCGGTTATAATTTTTCAGAGATTGGGAATGTGTTTATTTTTGGAACATGACCACAACTGTTTGTGTAATTTTGGGATTTAGTTCACAGAGTGCTCGCGTTCTGAATTAATAGTTTTATTTTTGTAAATTCAATATGTTGGTGTAACACCACCCCCTCTATACATTTTCTCTCTTCTGTAGTGTCGACTTATATGTTTAGAACGGAGTGCGACAGCGCCTACACTATCGTGACGTCAATGTGCCCTTGACATGTACTTTTGCTTGTTGCATAATTTCACCTTGCTAAAGGGCTCGCCTGTACATGTTCTCGTACTCTTTTGTTTGATTTTATCGAGTCCGGATTTAGTGCACTTTTCTTTCGAAAATAGGATTACCATCGCGAGTACTATCGCTGTCATGTAAAGTTATGAAATGAACTGGTTTCCGTTGGGATTTTCTAAGATTAGTGGAAATCAAGACTTGGAATCATTTGTAACTTAATATGCGTACTGCACAAGGCGAGCGACTTCACGTTTTCTCCATAGTCTATTAGTTTTCACGGACCTCCCCTTTTTCATCTCTCTTTTGGTTTGATTGGTTATGTAGTAGTAGTACACAGTTCCACAGTTTGTTTCGATAGAAAAGCATTTATAGTAGCCGTACAACTAAGGTGTCGTCGGCTGCCGCGCGCAGTGAGCTGGCTCACTAATAATAACTTATTAACTCAAGTTACAAAAACTGTGTATACAAGTGATAATAAGTAATATGAGTCTGAATAGCTGTCGGACTAAGCGTTGTTATGAGGCGTGAGTGAAAGTCAGAGGTTTTCTGTTAGCAGGTATTTTGTTCCTACTTCGTACTTCTGCTTTCCATATCTCATGCTTTGTCTTTTCTTTCTTTTGCCAACCAATTCATGTCTTTCTCCACAATTGTGGAAGCCAAAAAAGCCACCTTCATGATCTGTTTTATCAGGCCTTTGTTCAAAAGGTTTTTTTCTGGCATGAACTCTGTGATCGCGACCGATTTGTCTTGACTACACCGTTGCTGTCATTTCGATGTGATTCTCTTCCATGTCATAAAGTTCAATCAGTCGTTGTCGCTGCATTGTTCGTCGTTCCCATGTTGATCGTAGCGACCTATCGACTTCTGTAATTGTTCGTAAGTGCATTTCAGATGGGGTCGACTGAAGGTGGAGGTGGTGGCGTAGTGGCTGCCGCCGGTGGAGGCGGTGCCGGGTTGGCCAATTCGATGGTGAACAGCGCATCCGGTGAAGCGCTACATCAACAGTCGACTGTGATGACTGCGGCCAGTCTAGCCGGTGCGGCATCCGCACAGCAACAAGGCCAGACTGCAGTTTGGCCGAATAAGAAAGAAAATTATGTGCTCGAAGATGCCATCGGAGTTGGAGCCACTGCTACTGTATACAAGGTAATTTTTATATAGTTTATTTTACCAATTTTATAATCTTTATCCCATTATTTTCGTCTTTATTGCTTGTTAGAGGAATAATCAATCATTTTTGGATGTAGTTTGTTTGCTGAGTCTAGGTAGCGCTGCATATCGCCGGTTTGTCCGCCAATATTCCGAAAAAGTGTCTGTCCTATTAACTTCGAGTTAAAGTGTAAATACTCGTAAGCGCTCTGCACACGTTGCTCAAACAGGCGTGAGCTTGTGAATGACATGTTTGTGCTTTAAACTATCTCAATTAGCATCGTTCACATTAGCTTAGTAACAGAGGCGTCAAACAATATGTGCAATGCGGTCTCTCTTAGCCTTGGATCAAATATAAAATTAGACTTTTGTGGTCTTTCCTCTTCATCTTTGGTGCTCTACATGTTTTCCCCATGTTGTCTCTTTCTCATGTTGTGTTGCAATCGATCAACATCAAGCAATGAGATGTTTGAACCCTGCATGAAGTTAGAAAACAGAAAGTTACGTTGGGAATGTTTTTTGGACTTTGCCCCTAAAAAATTCATATGTGAGATTAAGAAAGTGCAACTCATGTTTTTTGTGACCATTCAAGTTATTCCGAAAGTAGTGTATAGCCTGTGAGCAGCTAATTTTTCCATCACAAAAGAAAACATATCATGTGGTCGGTGCGTTACGTGATTATGAGGGTTTTGTAAAAGTTTATTTGTCAATCGTACGCTTTGATTATCGAAGGCGCGAAAGTCCAATAGACAATAAACGTGTCTTTCTGTATACTCTGACTACACAAATCATGCTTCCATTCATATAAACAGTAGCAGAAGCCTTTTTAAAGTGAATGGTGAGGCCATCTTGCTTGAGCCGCTCGCTTAAAGTTCATCTAAATTCAAAATAACTCGAGTTTTTTGGACAACTGGAGTGAACTCAGTGGACTGTTATGATTTTTTCATCTTGGTCCAGGAACTTCTCGCGCAATCTCTTCAAGCGAAAAGTGCTACTCTTCACGTAGACAGATAATCTTTGTATCGTATGCGTCATGTCTGGCTTTTTGAGATGAGACTGGTCTTGATTGTGATCAAAGATGGCACCGGATCTATAGCAGAATGAAAGTTCTAGATTATTTAAGGTCAATATTGATTGATGTTGGTTACGTGCATTTGCTGCTCTTAACGTTTGATTCCGTCCTCTGAAAATTTGGTTTTGCATTTATGCGTTGCGACGAAAGGCGTTATAGTTTATCACCTTTTTTTGTCGTTGATCGCATGGCTGTTTGCCCTATCGACCAATATGCAATTTCTAATATCTCCGCTGGGCTATATCAATCACGTCATCTTCGCTAACAACTTAGATGCATACCTAATGTCATCGACTAGGAAAATTCTTCGGCTTTTTCTTGACTTTTGTGGTTACTGAAATGTGTTGATTTCTGTGACTCAAGCGATAATCGCTTTGCTCGCTGGTACTTCTTTTGAACTTCTCCTGTTATCGTTCTAGTTTTCTCAATCTTTACTTTGCAGGCTATATGTGTTCCAAGAAATGAGCGTTGTGCCATCAAATGTATAAATTTGGAGAAATGCCAGACATCGGTAGACGAACTTAGCCATGAGATTCAGGTGAGTGAGTCACTCTGCGCTATCCTAGTTTTGCTTGAGTATTTTTGGTATTGGCGAGTGTCTGATGATTTTCTTTTTACTAACTTTATTCGGGAAATTTTTTTATTGATTAAAACATGACTCAAACCCAGTTGTTGACATTTTTGGTGTCAGATCATGATGAAAACATTCGTCATTTTCTACCGACTATGTTATGTTCGGTATAGGTTGAGCATTGAGCGTGAAAAGTTAAAAATGCATGACAGCATTTTCTCACGTGAACAAGAGTTACAAATCATATCCATGTCTTTGTCAGGCGATGTCTTTGTGTGCGCATCCAAATGTTGTCAGTTATCACACGTCATTTGTGGTAGGAGAAGAATTATGGGTGGTGATGCGACTGTTGAACAGCGGATCTATGCTCGATATTTTGAAAAGAAAAATAAAGGTAGGAATTTTGAAAATCTTGTCTACAGAATTTAATGTTATTGTTTTATTCAGGCGATTGGTAAGGAACAAGCCATGAATGGTGTGTTGGAAGAGGCAACTATTGCTACAGTACTGCGTGAAGTATTAAAAGGTCTCGATTATTTTCATTCTAGTGGACAAATTCATCGTGATATCAAAGTAAGTTTCTTATTAGATTGTTTCCCCATGTGGTAGCTAAATTTTTCTCTACCTTATTTCTTTACTCTTTTTTTCCTTATTTGTTGGAGGATAAGTGCCGCATGGTTCCTGTTTCTGTTAGACTATTTAGCGTCATTTCAACTCATTATGTTTTTTTAAAATCTCTTCGTTAGGAATATGTGAGAATGATGTGTTAGGGACCTTCAAGAAGGCGATATTCTTGCCTCTCTTCTTATTGTTTGAACAGAGACGTCGAAAGGGTTGGAGGTGGCAGTGCACATCTGACGATACGCTGAATTCTATGCGCTTGGGTTCTAAAACATGCGCCGTAAGGGTTAGATAAGTTCTTTATTTCATGCGTTATGCAGTGAGGCTGCATTTGATCTACTTCAGCAAGCGCACTTTTAATCACTGATCATCAGTAAAAAGTGCTGAAAGAAGCACTAAAATCGCGGTGGACTGAGCCAGGGGCTAATTTTTTTTCTCAATCCTTTTATATGCTACTGGCTTCGGTCGAATGTGTAAGCTTATGCGCGAAGGGGCACTGAAATCAATCAAGTGTCGTTTTAGGTAGTAGGCATCCCCCATCCTGCTCTCTTTTTAGTGGGTAGTAGTCTGACATGTCTTTTATGCGTCTTGCAGAGACCTATTCAGTAAAATTCGTTTACCCCATCGTACTTTTTCCTCTTGGTTTCAACAACCATAACACGAAATGCTGCCATTAATGTTTCTGACAGGCAGTGTTTGGTCGTTATCGTTTTGCTTTCGCTCATTCTTTCAACATTGTATTTTCAGGCGGGTAATATTCTAATTTCTGACGATGGAACTGTTCAAATAGCTGATTTTGGTGTATCTGGTTGGTTAGCTGCATCCGGTGGTGATCTTTCAAGACAGGTATGGAATGTTCACCAATTGTCGAAACTATGCAGTGAACTGTCAGCTATATTGTACATAAGCAATGCGAGTGTTTCTTCTTGTGAATATAATTATACAGTTTGGGGCAGAATTCCTACCTCTTTGAATGTTTTTGACGTTTTGGCCTTGTTTTCTTATTGTTTTCTGATCATCTTGAATAATCACACCTTTTTAGCATTATCAATTAGCAAAAGTCTTTGCTTCAATATGTATTTAGTTGCTTCTAATCACTTTCATTTTGTAAGTTTGCTTTCTTCTTTATAGACAAAATCTCATCAGGCTTACGGTATTTGTGCTTCATTGGTGACAGCTCTTCCTCCTTCAAACTTTTCTATTTCTGTCCCAGGCTTTTCAGATAACCTTGTAACTCGCATTGTTCATGTTACTCTTACTGTCCTTCTTTCTGTTCTGGAATTGATACTTTGATCTCTTGATGTAAAAACGGTGCTGTAAAATAGGTGCTTGAGGCGTTGGCTTTGCGAGCGAGTTAGTCAGTTCAGTTAAGATAGATTTTACTGCTTCTGAATATCAAGCTTGTTAGAAAGTGTAAATGCTGACAGTTCCGATGGACGATACGATGATTGTCGGTGGTTGCTATGATGGAAGCTACCTCTAAAGTGACCGTAATCTGTGGTGTTCTTTACTTCAATTTGTCATGAACGCTCCACCGGCGTCGCGTATCGCTCCATCGCATGCATAGTGGACCGAATCTATCCAAGCAGATAAGCGGTCGAATTGTCCTCGTGTTCAACACATGTGTTTGCGTTTCAGAAGGTTCGTCACACATTCGTCGGCACACCTTGCTGGTGGGTTTTGGCCTCGTTAATTCGGGGTTATGGTAGGGGGTTAGACGTGAGCGCTTTTTTGACGGTGGCATTTGTGCATTACTCACCACATTCCTGTCAATTACATATAGGTTTCCCCATTGCCCAAATGGCACCGAATAACGAGCATTCACGTGTTTTGCCTGAGTGGGTGGGGCGTAAGCGGAAGGTAGGGGGAAGAAGGGTGCGGTGCGCGCGCGTATGTGGGACTAGTTGGGACTTGGAAGGATTTGGACTACAAATTTGTATCAAAATAAGAGGTACAAGTGAGCAGTTTTTAGGATGGCACCTGAAGTAATGGAGCAGGTGCAGGGATACGATTTTAAAGCTGATATATGGAGTCTTGGAATTCTTGCTATTGAATTGGCGACTGGTACAGCTCCTTACCATAAGTTTCCACCTATGAAGGTAAGTATTTCGTTATTGAAGGCAGTGTCCAAGCAGATTTGGGATTATTGCGGGCTTTCCTTGCAAGCTACGGCCTGATCTCGACTGCAGATACTGTTTCTCGGGCGAGAAAAACGCTTCAAAATTCATGACCGCCTCTCGTATCGGTCTCGTTTTCACCCAGGAAAGCGTGTGGGACACACCGTTGCAGCGAATCACAGCGTCGCAACGGCTGTGTCCCGCATGATCTCCTGGGCTGGTATGTATCAATCGCCCGTCCGGGTAAGTTACCCGGACAGATAGTTTCCGCTTCATAGCTCGGTGCTCTGGGGATCTGTGTTCTTCCAAGTTTGTTCATCTTTAGAAGGCTCTACTACCCTAATACTGTAGCACAATGAGTAGCAGCACTTTGCTGTATAAGCTGAGATAATTCGTTATTTCTATGATCCCGAGCGGGATCTCCCACTGATCACGCTCATTTTCAAAGTTATTTATATCCGCAAAAACTCAATGAAAACGTCATAGAGTCTTGCTGTCGATCTATTACGACAGTGCTACGCATGTTTGTGAAAGAAATAAATGGAAAATCAAGTTGACAAAATCTTCGATGAACCTGTGCTCGCGAGTTGGGCTTTATCGAAGAACTCAAAACTTGCACATTTCATCTGTTGTACTAAAAACATGCGTAGCACTGTCGTAATAGATCGACAGCAAAACTCTATGACGTTTTCATTGAGTTTTTGCGGATATAAATAACTTTGAAAATGAGCGTGATCAGTGGGAGATCCCGTTCGGGATCATACAAATAACGAAATATCTCAGCTTATAGAGCAAAGTGCTGCTACTCATTGTGCTATAATATTAGGGTAGTAGAGCCTCCCAAAGTGAACAAACAAGGAAGAACACAGATCCCCAGAGCACTGAGCTATGAAGCGGAAACTACCTGTCCGGGTAACTTACCCGGATGGGCGATTGATACATACCGGCCCTGCTTTTGTAAGGACGAGACTGGATCAAGGGGCGACTATGTCGAAACTTCTGAAGCGACTTCCGTGCTCTAGAGGCTGTATTCTGCAGCTGTGTCGGGCTATGACTTGGGTGGAAGGCGTGCTGCAGTATTTAGTGAAAAGGGGCTCCCAAGCTTGATCGTATACTGCCTTTGAGCTATATTTTTCAAAATTCTATTCTCCAGGTGTTGATGTTGACCCTTCAAAATGATCCACCTACTTTGGAAACGAATGCCGAAAGAAAAGATCAATACAAGAACTATGGAAAATCATTCCGTACTTTGATCAAAGACTGTCTTCAGGTTTGTCAGTTTTTCAGCTCAACATCGTTGAAAATTCCGGCGTCTTGCTTTTTGGGCCAAGATTCTGTGCTTATAACCATTCTGAAGAAAATTTTCCAGAAAGATCCGACAAAACGACCCACTGCAGCGGAACTTTTGAAATACTCTTTTTTCAAGAAAGCCAAGGATAAGAAGTATCTTGTGCATGCATTGATAGAAAATCTTGCAGCAGTACCAGTAATAAGTCATCATAGTACGAAAAAGGTTTGTTTTCTTTCTTTTTCATTTTTTGAGGAAAAATTTCATTTTGCAGGTGGCGTCTGGTAAACTTCGTAAAGACAAAGACGGCAACTGGGAATTTGAATATGATTCTCCACCCGGCAGCGAATCTAGTGACGAGGAGGAACAAGCTAAACCTGCACCAGCTGCTAATGCTGGAGCTGGTGTTGAACCAAGCGCTCCTGGCGAAACCCTAAATCTTGTAAGTCCTCTTATGGTTTTTTTGTGGAATACTTTCACTCGCTTTAACGTGATCTCGCATGCTAAGGCTTTGCTTTTGTTGGAACTGTCGCGCTATCAAATTCGCTTCAAAGAGCACTTAACTCGCGCGTTGAATTAGTTTTACAAATGCCAATGTTTGTCTGCCATGTTGGGGTAAATACCACATTTTGGGTCAATATCTCTATTGATTGATGAGCGCAAGTATAATCATCTTGTGCCGCTGCCTTGATGTCTGTCGAAAGTTACGGTATTTACTTTCAATTCGTAGGTTTTACGTGTGAGGAATCAACAGCGTGAGCTAAATGACATCAAATTTGACTACACACGGACTGCAGACACAGGTATGTTTGCGCTTTTTAATATTTTGGTCACTTTTATGTTCTACTTACTTCACTTTCTCATTATTTTATTGCTTCATACAAGAGATGCACAGTTCTGTTATATTTATGCCCTGGCCAGACTTCGCCTAAAAGCGCCCAAATTTATCTGCTGTCTCTTCACTTTCTCATGTGAGGAGAGATGAGAGAAAGTGAGGAGAGGTTAGAGAAGTTTGGGCGCTTTTGAGCGCTTTTGGGCGCTTTTGAGCGAAGTCTGGCCAGGGCCTTATGAAGGAGCTCATGGGTTTGGCTAGCGTTACCCAATTATACTTCCGTAAGGGTTATATTTTGAAGATACGTGCGAATTTGATGTATGCCATTTATTTTTGGATTTTTCATCAATGAACCCATAAACCCATCATCTCTATCCCAATTTCTCTTCGTTTTTCAATACTATTTGAGTGGTATTTGAAGAGTTTTCCTGTGCTTATTCTTTTGATTTGAAGCTGCCAGCGTACTTTGTGAACTAGATTTTATTGCTTTTTTTAGTCGAAGGGATTGCCCATGAGTTGGTAACCGCAGAACTGATTGACTGTCATGATCTAGTTATCGTAGCCGCAAATCTGCAGAAACTTATCGACCTTGCCGAAAAGAAAAGCGAGAGACGATCTGTTACGTTTGCACTCAATTCCGGTGTTGCTCCTAATGAGGTGAGCGGTTGAGAGAATGTGCCTCGGAAGGGGTAGAGGAACGAACTCTTTTGTTGGCGCAACTACTGGTCCTTTTGCACGTGCTGCTGCATCCCATATGAGAACCAGCAGTTCGTTCCTCTGTCCGTTTCGTAGCCCCTTCAGTATTATTTATTTTGAATGAAGTTTTCGAATTCAGATACCTGACGAGCGAACGTTAACGGGTTTTGCGCAGATTTCATTGATTGACTGAACACTACACCATGATCTACACTTTGCCATCACTTGACCTAATGTTTTAGCTATTTTTATTAACCATCTTAATTCTCGTACACGTTTACCTAATCTTTTCCGAATGTTCGCTGACAATTTTCTTTTCTCTTAATTTCACTAAAATATACTGCTAATTATGTGTTGCAGTAGCTTTACGCTCCATGCCTACGTTATTCTTTCTAGTTTGTTCATTCCTTTAGAATGTTTAATATCGTCTGAAGTCCCCCATTGCTGAAAGTGCTCTTTATCAACCAAACATGCGGTTTTAACATGGCCGGTCAATAGTTTCTTTTTTCTGTATCATTAGTCAAATTGTTTTTTTACTTATCCAACCTCTTTCAGCGAAATTTATTATTAGGGCTTTTTATGGGCGTATGAGATGTGGATTGCTTTTCTGCACCAAGGAGAAATATGTATCTGACGGGGTAACTGCGGGCGTTTTGCTGACAAAAGAAATTAGCACGAATCGTTCGTCATACTCTAATGTTAAGGCAACAAATCGTTCGGTACCACGATAGGGATGCGCGCTTTTGAATATCGTTGTCGTTATCGCCGACGAATCTAGTACAAGTTTAATTTATAAAACTTGCTCAAATCTCGCAGTCGAGCTAATCGTAAGTTCTGATTTATGGAAAGTTCTGAGCCGAGGTTGAGCCACTTACCGATCCCGAAAATATCATGCCCTCCCGCCTGCTGAATACTTTCGCTTGTCTCCGATATGTACGCTCAGCCTATAATGTGTTTGTAAGAAATATTTGCTCTTGATAAGTCTGATTTCGTAGGTTTGTGTTGCACGTTGGGTTTTTCATCACAAGTTCTGTAAGTTATGTGATTTCAATAAAAGAGTTTTATGCTGCTTTATGCTTATTTCGTTGTGCTCTTAGAAGTCAGACTGAAAATCACGCTAACTGATTCCTGGGATACTGAATTTTGTCTGGATCGTTGACATAAAGACGCCGATGACAGATCTTTGCCTTCGATGACAAATCTTAACCTGTCTTGGGGTAAATCGATCTGAAACACACGTCTCATTGTAAGGGAAGCATATCATTGAAAAACATCCAAGAATTTTTTCCGTTTCGTTCCTTTCCTTAGACGAAGTTTTTTAGTTTTTTAGTTTCTAATTTCTAGACCCTCTCCGGGACTCTTTAACGACGAAAGAGGGCTTACAATGTGAATTCTTTATGGAGAAAGAGCAAAGCTCATCCTTTCTTTCAAAAATTTTCCTTTCGGACGACCCGCGAAATGGGCGTGGTGTATGTTAGAAATGAACTTGTTTTGGTGTTTAGCAAGTGAAGTAGGGTGGACGAAGTAGTGTGGAATATTTATTCACACTGGCGTAGATTAGTTGAGAGCGATCGAGGCGTCCCGGTATTAACCGGGGAGGAACCTCTAATACATTCGGAGGCTCCTTATATACGAAGGGAGGCGGAGCTGAACCGAATACAGGGTACAATGTACACGAGTTGGTGCTTAAAAGGAGATGCCGCCGATTGGCTACACTCCTGGCGCACGGGATAAAGTCTAGCTTAATGTCTGTTAGTGCTTTCAAATCAGCTCGAAGCGCGGTACTATCCATACCTTGTGGGTGACTAGTCATTTCCTTAAATTGCACCGGATGTACTAATATATTATTCCTGAACAATATATCATGCCTCGGAGACTTATTTGCAGAGTTAGATGAACATCAGAATCCCCAAACACGGTTTCCGGGATAAATTTTGGACAGCAGTCTAAATAATGGAGCTTTTTAGCATAGCTTTCTGTGCGGGCAAAATTCTACCTCACACCAACAAGTTCGATGCCACGTGTAGCATCGCATCTTCTCCTTTCTAACCATAATTCACACAAGAGATAGTTTCGATGGTCTGAGAAGCTCTGGTAGAATGTCCGTTCTACTTCGCTTCTCTCCTTAAGGTCTTCTTTTATCGCTTCTCTGCATCGCTTCGCAAGCTCGGATGTCAGTCGGTAGTTGCCTGTGGCTCGTGCGCGTCCACGTTGGCGTATCAGCTCCAAAGTCCCCGTGGTGAGACGCCTTCTCGTACTTCTTAGACTCTGAGCTTCCTTGGCACAACCGTGGGGATGTTGTACGAACCGTTCGTATTCTTCGTCGATGTTGTCCATCACGGTATCTCGCCATGGCCGGATATCGAAGAAAACAGATTCCAGTTGGTGGTATTCATGGGACGATGTTTCCTGAACTTGACGGCTCTCTCTCCATTCCGCGGAAAGTAGAATTTGGCGCGCAGGAGACGATGGTCTGATCCCGTGTAGAACTTCGGAACAACAGCGACGTCCGTCAGGCAGTACCTTCTGTTGACGATGATGTGGTCAATCTCGTTATGGTACTCTCCACCGGGCGATTCCCAGGTCCAGCGTAGGGAAGAGGGCTTTTGGAACTGTGAGTTTCCATGGATAGTCCTCGTCGTCATGATAAACTCTCGGACAGTCTCTCCCCTTGTTCGTTCCACTGCAAACCATGGGTTCCGATGTGAAGTTCCTCAGTCGACCTTCTAGTTCCGATCTTCGCGTTGAAATCACCGACGATGATCTTGTAGAAGGTATGATCTTCTCTGTAGAACTTCTCCAAGTCCATATAAAATTCCTCGAGTTCGTCCTCGTCGTAGCTGGATGTTGGGGCGTACGCAATGAAGACGGTCAAGGCAGGGATTGATCCACATCTTGATATTCGCAAACGTTCGATTCGAGTTGTAAGTTGTTCGAACGAATCGATGTTCATGGCCAAACTCGTGTTGACAAGGACTCCCACTCCACCTACTCCTCGACTGTCGCATGTTCCTAGAAACAGTTCTTCTCCAGTCTCAAATGTGGCGTTCAGCGGGCGGTGCCTCCTTGTCTCGGTCAGTCCGATGACGTCGTACTTAATCTTCCTTGCTTGCATCATGAGATCTTCGATAGATGCGTCCGATGCCAGCGTCCTCGCGTTGTAAGTACAGATCGTCATCATAGTCCGTCTCGTTTTCGGCAGCCTAGATCGCCTTTCAAACCTTGTCCCCACTGGCGCTGCCTTACCAGTGGCTCTTCCAAGATTAAAGGAGCTTTCCATATTATCACTGTGTCGAACAAGAATTTACTCGCAGGGATAGCTTGTTGGGCTCAAAACCCCCGCGAGGGACGATCGGAGCTTATTTGTTGGAGGCGACTCCGAACTCGCCTCCCCACACACCTACCCGGGAAATTAGGGCGCAAGCTTTCAGTGGAGGCAGGGAGTCCGTCCTCCGGCTCCGCTTGCTTATCAGAACAGACGCGGGGTCGCTTTTGGTCGGCGATTATCCCCTTATCCGCCACCTGGGGACGCCCCACGTAGCCTCGCGACTAACCGGCTGTGATCCCTCTATGAGGGAGATCCGTGAGTTCTGTCCTTACCGAACAAAAAGCTCCTGGCAGAGAAGCACTAGCAAGACTGATGTGTGGTGCAAGAAACTGAGGATGTACTGAAACATGCAATCGGAGGAGTGAAGCGATTCGCACGACCGTGATGCTTTCCCTAACGCCTAAGACACAGCCCCGTAGGCTGGGTTCATATTGATCCGGAAGTTCCGCGACAGTCCCAGCACAGTTCCGGTACAGTTCGAGAACTGCCCCGGAATTTACGGATCGTTATGAACACCGGCCATAGTGTGTCCTTGATTCGCTTGACCACTGGATCCACTTAATCCACTTCTTACTCTTTCCGGATCAGTACGAACACAGCCACAGTGCGCCCTTGATTCGCTTGACCTGCTGGATCCACTTGACTCCTTAGTTACTTAAAAACTTAGATGGCTCGGCTTCACGTTACGTGCGGGTTCCAGCACAGAAGTTTCCATTTATCCCTGTCTTTCGCTTCAGACATCCACAATGTTCTAGGTTGTCATCGGTGGCTGCGTCCACGAGATCCAGGGGCGAAAATCGTACCCAGCCGATTTTTCAGCTGGTCCATCCGTTCCACGAACACGCCTGCCCATCTCGTTGGAGGTCTTCCTCGTGGACGTTTCGCTTCGCGAGTAATCCACTCAGATGTTCTTAGTGTCCATCTGTCGTTTGTTCTTTTTATAATGTGACCGGCCCATCGATGCTTCGCTTTCGCAACGTAATCCGCTGGGTCACGAAGACGGGACATTCTCCATATCCGTACTGCGAAGTCCGACGAGATGTTGTTTGTGTCGGGTCATCTTCAGAAGACTGCGCTCGAGCGCCTGTGAGTGGTCCGTAGAGTTTTTGAAGTGGCTACAGTATCGGCCCAAGTATCACCTGCGCAACAGAGCGCCGGGAGGGCGGTTGAGTCGAAGTCGAACAGGTGGGCACGAAGCTCCGGGTCCGTCAGTTGGTCGGTGGCTCTCTTCAGAGTCCCGAAGGCGGCCCAGGCTGCTCTTCTTCTCCTGTTAAGTTCTCTCCTTAAGTCGTTCTCCATGATCATCGAACGTCCGAGATACACGAAAGAAGACGTCACCATGACAGGGGTGCCCCAATTCCGTCTGAATCTTGGCAAAGGGCGTTCTTCATGAACTAAGTCTTCTTCCGGTTTATCCGCAATCCGATCTTCTTCCCTGCTTCGTTTAGTTCCTTCAGCATCGTCTCTGTTTCAGTGATACCGCAGAAGAAGAGAACGATATCGTCCGCAAAACGAAGGTTTGACAGGTCTTCCATCAACTCGTATGTTCCCCCTCTCAATTGGGATGGTGAGCGACGGAATAGCTACATCGTCGTTGTACAGTCCTTGTATCAGTCGACGACTAACGTCCTCACGTAAGCTGGGTCCATCGTCGTCTAGTGCAAGCAGGATGACGTTGGTTTCGATGCTGTAAAAGGCTTCCTCGTAGACGACGAAGGTTAGGAGGAGAGGCAGTCGGTACTCCCGGCAGACTTCTATGACACTCGAAACCGTCTGGATGTGGTTCATGCAGCTGATTCCTTTGCGAAATCAAGCTTGTTCTTGGGTTGAGCTTCATTCAGTGTCCCAGATATGCGAGCGAGGATAATGTGAAATGCTTATGCAGCACACTCAGCAAGCATACTGGACGGTAGTCCCGAAGATCTTCCCGTTTACCCTTCTTGAAAAGAAGGAGGCTCTTGACGTTCTTCACTGGTCTCCTGGTCGGCAATCCTCTCCTGAAAAAGATGTCAGGTGCGACGCGAGAATCACGTGTAGACGTTGTCTTCCGGCTCGCAGAAATTTGACCGAAAGATGGTCTAGTCCTGTAGCCGTGGACATCTTCAGGTCTGAATCGCTCAGGTCTGCGCATTTTAGCAAGCCGAATTCGTGACGGTACTTCTTCAGGGGAATAACGGGCAGCAGGGTTTTGATGAGCGGAAGAGGTTGGTACAGAAGTTTTTCGCGATAGATTCCATCTTATATCGGGAAGAAGTCGGAGTCCCGTCTTCGTTTAATAGTGCAGCCAGCGGTACGTGATATTCACAGAGGTCCCTTCGGCACTTCTTGAGACTTCGTCCTCCTTCGGCTGCTTCCAGTATCTTGGCTTGATTGTACTTCATGAGATCCTCCTGCAAGGCTGTTCTGCAACTGACGTTGGCTATCAGTCGCCCAAGATGGGTTGCACTCGAATCTGGCCTCAGTGATCTTCTCTTTCGAGTAATCCCTTGGTGGTCTTCGAAATGCGCTCCAAGTTCTTCTCAGAAGTCACTGAGGCGCATTCTCCACATGCTCGCAATCCTTTTAGAAGCCGGTCGTAGTCGTACGTTGGGTCCTCCTCGATGGGCCAGTCAGAACTTGATATGAGCTCTTCCAGCCTGTTACCGTCATAAACGACTTCCTTCCTTCTCGCGGCACTATGATAGACTTTCTTTTCCAGCCTTCGGCTGAATCGTATCTTCGCTCGAAGGAGGCGGTGATCGGAG